CGCTGCCAAGTTCCTAGCCTCCTGGGGGGGGGGCTCCTGGCCAGAGCAGGCTGCTCTCCTGAGCCGTCAGGCACTGAGCAAGCTGGCGTCCCTGAGGGCAGGGCTGGAGCAGCTGCGTCTGTTCTCCGTGGAGCAGCCAGCCAGGGGCACTGCAGGCCTGGGTTTGCGTCTGACAGGTGGCACGAGTCCTTCCGCCGCAGCCCCCTCCATGGGCTAGTCAGAGGTGGCTGAGGCGCCAGCAGGCAGCGTGTGGCTCAGGTTGTGTGGCGTGTGGCCGGTTTTGGGGAGCTTGTCTCTGCTTCCCCAGCTGCTGCCCGTCAGCCGGGCTGGCAACCACCTGGAGCATATCGGTCAGCACAGACCTGGCAAACAGGGACCAAAAGCTTGCCATAGCTGCTTGGCCCAAGGAGGAGGAACATGTCCCTGGTGACCACAAGTCCCGAGGCAGCCTGGGGCTGAGTCACCCCAAAGGCCACCCCTCCCACGCTGTCCATCTCAGCAGGGTCTCCATTCCTGCGGTCTCTGTGTCCCCCCCTCCTCCCCTGTTGGAGGTCCGCTTCCTGGCCAGATCCCAGTGTCCCAGGCCCCTGCCCCAGGCGGCCGCAGCCTGCCCTGGGCCTCCTGGGAACACACAGGCAGACGGAATGTGGGAAAGAGTGGTTTTCCTGGAAAGCAGCCTGGGAGGGCGGCAGCGCGGCCAGCTGTGTCTCAGCGGAGCGGAATGTTCTGGTGCCCGCCCCGTCTGGAGGCCAGCGGGGATGCTGGCTGGCCCTTGGCAGGGGCACCTGGGGCTGGGCCTGGGTGGGCGGGCACAGTAGACTGCGGGGCATCCACACCCCATTTCCCAGGGTTGTCTGACTCCCAGACCCCAGAGAGGCCCTGGGCACTCTGCCACGCACCCCCATCACCACCATAGGCGGCAGCAGCTGGGAGCAGGGTCACAGATGGGTCACTCAGGCGGCTGGCTGCTCCCCACTCCTGTCCTGCTGGGGTTGGGGGGGGGTCATGTTGGGGATTTTCTCCCATTTTATTTCTGCTGAAATGAAATATGTAAGTTCATCATTTGGAAGCATGAAATTCCATGGTGTTTGCACACTCAGGACCAGGCAATTGCTGTGAGTTCTAGAACATTCCAGCTCCCAAAGGGAAACTTGAAAGAGTTCTTTACTGTAAGGGGGCTGCAAAGTCTGCAAAGGGAATATGACTTTCCCCCACCTCTTTTTTTTTTTTGAAAGGCAGAGTAACATGGGAGAGGAGAGAGAGAGAGAGAGACAGGTCATGCATCCTCTGGCTCACTCCCAAGACACCCACAGCAGCCAGGTCTGGACCAGGAAGAAACCCAGAGCCAGGAACTCCATTTGGGTAGATGGTGTGGGCCCGGTGCTGGGGCTGTCACCTGCTACCCACAGGCAGGCGGGGAGGGCTCAAGGCCAGGCCCTCCCATTGCCACAGCGCACCACAACGCACGGCCCACCCTCAGTGTTTCCTTTCCTTCGATTTCCTCCTGGGTATTTTGGAGTCCTCTTCTCAGCTTCTCGCATTATTTTCCTGCCTCTTATTTCCAGGTCATTCAAAGTGACGGAGACTGGGAGAGAACAGCCCCGCACAGCTGTGCGTGTGCACCTGTGCCAGGCTGACCGTAACATCACTTCCCATGCTGACTCCCAGATCCAGCTCCATCTACACAGTTCCCATGTGCAGGACAGTCCCCAGCCAAGAGTGTCCCAACCAGGGCACCGGCAGTGCCAGGAGACAGAGCACCAGAGCGTGCACGCGGGTGGAGAGGACACACCTGTCCCCCACCTGTCTGCAGCGCCAGGGCGCCATCGCAAGGGGCAGCTCTGAGAGCAGCTGGTATCAGGGGTGGGCACTGGGATCCAGGCAGCCAGGTCACGGGGGTCAAGGGCTGGCAAGAAGCAGCTGAGGCAGGAGCCCCGGGTAGGCTGTGGGGTCCCCATGTACCCACTTAGTGAGTGTGCCCAAATGCCCACTGTGCATGTGCGGGGTGCACAGAGAGGGGAGAGGAAATAGAAGTGGCATTCCGCCCGGGGCAGGCTGCCCCTTGCGGTCACTGGGCACTCTGGCTGACCAGTACTGGGCTGAGGGACGTGGGTTCTGGAGCGCTGGGCTTGGGGCACACCTCAGTGTACGCATGGCTCCCACCTCCCTCCCAGAGGCTGGCTGAGCCACAGGCCCTGCCTGGGAGGGTAGTGGGTCTGGGGGCTGAGCCTGGGGCCCAGGGATCACATACTACCTGCAGCTGCAGAGACCAAGTCTGTGGGGGCTTCGTGTGAGGCGTTGGGAGGCAGAGCCAGGTGGACACTCAGTGCCAAGGGCTGCTCCCACATGAGAGGGGCGCTCAGGGGCTGAATGAAGCGTCAGGGTCATGCTAGCTGGAGTCCAGGGTCAGCACGTGAGTGGTCTGAGCTTGGACACTTCAGTCTGGGGGCTGAGAGCGAGCTGGGAGTTCTCTAAGCCTGGAGCCAGGGCAGGATGTAGGGCTAGGTCAGTGCCGGGACATGGGGTGGGGAGGGGGCTGCCTGAGGGCCACGTCTGGCACTTCAGGAGCAGGAATTGTCCTGGGGTCACCCTCCTGCCACAGGGCTGGGTGTGTGGGACTTGCAGGGCTGGCGGAGTGAGGGCCACTTCCACAGGACACAGTGGGGAGGCAGAAGGCTTGGCAGCTCACCAACCTGTAAGGTGTGGCCTGACTGTGCGCCCAAGAGCACAGCCCACTACATCGGCTCGGCCTGGGCTCAGGCGGCAGGACTCATGGGAGCCTGGAACGCCAAGTTCAGAGGCCCTCCAGGAGGCCGGCAAGGGACGCTAGCCACAACAACGCTGCAGGCTGGCCCAGGGTTGGTTGGCATTGCCAGCACTGTGGGGCGTGTCCAGCTTGGCCATGTCACTGTGAGAGCGAAGCAGAGGTGCCTGGGTGCGTTTGTCCTGTTTCTGCTTTCTTCTCGGCCTCTTTCCACGGATAACCCACAGCCCTGGCCTCCCGTATCCCGAGTGTTGGAGGTTGCAAGGGCGTGACCAAGGGTCCTGGTCCCAGCTGGACACTGCGGTCCCTGTGGCCTGGGTGGGACTGTGGAGCATGTTGCTGGGAGAGCAGGTGAAGGGAGAGCCTGGGGGTGTAGTCCTTTGTTGAGGTTTGGCAGGTGCACCTGACTTTGGGACCAAGCCCTGTCCACCTGTCTGTGGGCTGAGCTGACCCAGCACCTTCTGGATCAGCACCTGCTGGGGGCTGACAACTGCTAGGCACAGGAACCCCTGACCTTTCACAGCCTCTGTCCTGCATGGGGATGCCTGGTCTGCCTCTCACCATTGTCACAAATGCTCACAGAATTGCCAGCTTTGGACACTGCTCCCTTGCCCACTGGGCTGGAGCCTAGAAGCCTGAATCCAACAGGGGTCTCCCTTGGCTGAGCTTGGGGACATCCCACTGAGGGCTCCAGGCAGTCTGTTTCTTTGTTGTTTCCGGCACCCAGAGCCCGGAGCAGTAGGAGTTTCTGGAAGGGCTGCTGGGTGGGGTGGCTGCCAGCCAGGCATGCGGAAGATGAGCGATGCTAAGAGGAGGCGTGTTCTGTGTTCTGGACCTTAATGCTTACACAAGTCCAGCTGGTCCTCACAGCAGGTTTAGCGGTTGGGGCTTGTTCAAACTCCCATTTCACAGACATGGAGACCGAGGCCCAGAGAGGGGTGAGCTGACCTCCAGGTCAAGGGTCACTGTTCTGTGGATGGCTCCTGACCGCTGCATGAGTAACTTGGCCTGAGCAGATGGAGGAGCTGGAATCACACCCCCAAAGTGTGGAAGTCTGAGGGAGTGACAGATCCCAGGCTGGGCCCCAGAGGCACTCAGCACATATATTCACAATAAAGGAATATTCTAGAATCTAACCTAAGGTAACAACAAGAGCTGGGGCTGGGAGGAGCCAGGGGGCAAAAGATTCGTGCAGGTGATTCTGATGGGCGAGACCACAGCTTCCCAGACATGGAGGTTGCAGATGATACGTGGCTGTGGGCCCAACAGGAGACCCCAGGGCAGACCCTGAGACGCACCCCTGTGGTCATCCACCAGGAGGCCAGGAGCCACTGAGAGCAGACGGGGGAAGCCGACCTCTTTAAGAACACAGACTGCGGGGAGGGGAGCGAGGTCCTGTAACGCACCCATTTCCCAGATGGCAGCACCAAGGAGGAGGTTCACTGACACACAGACGCTAAGCAGGGCTTGGCACAGGAGTAGAGTGTATCTGCTGCATGGGTCCTTGCACTGCCCAGGGGAGACCAGCCTGGGCTCTAGGTTGCAACCATGCCATGCCAGGTGAGGGTGGCACCTCTGCTTTCCCATTTGTGCAACTGCGCTGCCTCAATGCTCAGCAGCCTGGCACCAACCCCCCCCCCGTCTGCGAGCCCCCTGTTTCCACCCCCCCCCCCCCCCCCGTCTGCGAGCCCCCTGTTTCCACCCCACCCCCCACCCCCCGCCTGCAAGCCCCCTGTTCCCTGCACACTGAGGCTGCTGGAGCACACCTCAATACAAGAGAGACCCCAAGGTGAGGAGGAAAGGAGGGTGCGAGGTCAGGGGTCTCCCCACGGTGGGCTGACCCCAGGAGTGTTCCTGGCAGGGCGCCTATGGCTCAGCATCCCTTTATTCCCCTCTCCCCTACGCCCCTCTGGCCCCAGGCTGCAAGGAAGTGCCCATTAGGGGGAGTGGAGGGTGGCAGGGCCACTCCTGGCCATGGCCCTGGGCAGCCCGTTGCCCCCTCCTCCCGCGGCTGCTCCGCCCTGGTTGCAGTCCCCGCCAGATGTTGTAGGGCAAGCTAAAAATAACTGGCGGCAGGAGGGGGCATGTGCCGGCGCGCACACACGATCCCAGGGACCCCGCTGGGTGGAAGTTACCAAGTCCGGCTGCCGCTGCCTTGCACCGCACACGCTAGCGGGAGCCCGCCGGCCACAGGGGTCCCGGCTCCTCGTGCCTGTCACGCCCCGCCCCGGCCGCGATGGGCAGCCACGGGGGGAGGAAGGGCCTCTGGGCTCTCTGCTTCCTCCTCCTCGTCCATGACGCGACTGCCAAGACTTTGTGGAAGCGGGCACGGCATGCAAGGCTGGCCCCCAAGTCCCGCGTGAGTGCTGGGCCCCGGCGGTGGGAGGCGGCTTGGGAGAGGGGCCTGAGGTGCAGGGAGGACAGGCAGGCTTTCTGAGTGGGTCAGGGCGTATGGAGGGCTGCTAGACTGGCAGACGCACTTGCTCCTCCTGGGAGGTCCCTAGGGATGCAGGCTCCGAGGACTAAACAGGGAGCCCACCCCACCTCCAGGATGACCAACCAGGAGCTGTGCGATGGGTGTGGGTCCCCACCAACCTGTGGTGGAACCCACTCTAGGGAAGCCACCCCCCAGCATCCTGCAGGTCCACAATCAAGGCGATGTCAGCTCCCCCACGCCAGGGAGAGGGAGGCGGTGGAGTGACAACCTGGCTGTCCCCAGGGAAGGTGAGAAGCGGAGCCAGGTGTGCAGTGGGCAGCGCAGGCTCCGCTCCTGGCTGCCCGGTGGCGTTAGGGACCTTTCCTGGAGTCTCGCTGACCCACAAATCCCTGTTTGTCTGTTAAGAATTGTTTTTGAAATTTTGACCCAGATCACATTTTCTATTACACTTCTTTCACTTATTTATTACTTTGTAAGTCAGAATTACAGAGGAGAGAGGGAGAGAGAGAGAGATTTTCCATTTGCTGGTTCACTCCCCAAATGTCCACAATGGCCAGGGTTGACCCAGGCCTTGGGCAGGAGCCAGGAGCTTCGTCCGACCCCGCATGGGAAGGCTGGGCTGTGTTCTGCAGGTATTCTCAGGCCATTAGCACTGAGCTGGGTCAGCAGTGGAGTAGTGGGACTTGAACCAGCGCCCCTGTGGAACGCCAGTGTCACAGGCGGTGGCTTTACTCTCTGTGCCACAGCACAGCCCTTGGTACATTCCTTTCAATCCACACGCTTTGGCCACCAGACACTGCCAGAGGCTTTGCGGACACAGATATCAGATCCAGGCTGGGGAAGCTGACAGCGAAAGGGAGGGGAGGGAGACAAAGGGAGTGCCATGGAGAGAGGCAGCAAGGAGAGAGGGGCTGTGGGGGTGGGGAGGTGATGGGCCCCTCAGCATCAGGACATTCGGACCCTCGGACCCTCGGGTGGAGATGCCCAGAGGATGGTCAGGTCCTTTAGGCCACAGTAGAATCTAGGGGACACGGGGGCACCAAGCGCTCAGGGCCCACATGCACTGTCTGTACCTCTTAGCAGCTTTTACCAGGGAACTGTGAGCTTTGTGGGCGCCGTCCTGGTGCCCTGCCGGGGACTGCGTGAAGTCGGCCCCCAGTGCGTCCCGGCGGATGGGGGCGGCCAGACGCAGTGTGAGCATGGCAGAGTGCATGGCAGGTGCAGCTCGGCCCCAGGGCAGCATCTCCCTGAAGGGTGAAGGGTGTTTGCTCTGAGCTTGGGCGATGGACTGGACTCTGCCAGATGGCTAGGAGGGAGGGGCTGACAGTGAGGGCCCCCCGGGGGCAGGCCCCTGTGCCGGGCCAACCTCACATTCCTGACCTCTGAAGGGGTAGGTGCTCCTAGGAGGAGGCAGGGGGCCGTGGGTGGAGTGGGAAGTGCTGGTCAGGGATGGGAGGTGGAAGGGAGAGCTCCCCTGGGATGCTATAATCCCTGGAGGCTTCCTGGAGGAGGTGGGCCCCTAATGCAAGGCTGAGGCCCAGAGGGAGAAGCATGAAGGCTGGGAATCCCTGAGCAGGAGCCAGTACTGGCCACAGGGGCAGGTCCTGCTTAGAGTTCCCGTCCGTGGTCCTTGCTGGTGCCACTGCCGGCCAGGAGGCAAGTGGCTGAGCTTGCACCTGTTACCCTGTCCTGGCCCCTCCCCTGGACACGGGAGGGGGCTGTGTGGACAGGCGTGCCTCCTCTGAGGCACGAGCCAGGCCTGGCAGGCCACAGGCGCAATCTCTGGCGAGCTCTTCTGCCCAGGCCACTCCTTGCCTCTCTGCTGGGCCCCAGGCATGGCCAGGAAGTGAGTGTAAGGGCCTCCCAGGGCTCTTGCTGGCTGATTCTGTAACAGATGTCTGACAGGGAACTTGGGGATCATGGGAGGCAGCACCATGACTTCTGGTATGCCCCCAAGGTGAGTCTGCAGAGTTGAGGGCTTGGGGGCTTGTCAGGGTGAGAAGGGTCCAGTGCTGGGCCAGAGCCAACTGTCCGCTGCAGAGTGAACGGAGACAACACAGCCTTGTTCCTGACAGGATCCTACAACCTTGCGGTTCAGCTGTGGCCGCCACCCGCCTGTGTGCTCTCCCCCTCCCCCGGCTCATCCCTGCGGGGTGGGGAGGTGCGACCCGGCCAGCTCCAGCTCCTCAGGGCCTCGTGGTGGTGGCCTGGAATCACCATGCCAGGCTGATGGCGGATATGGGCAAGGCTGCAGGTGCAGGGCAGAGCTGCCTGCTCCCGCCCCAGCCTCCTCCGTGGACAGTGGCTTTGTTCAGGGGCTGGCTCCCTTGGTCAGAGCACGGCTGGCTGATTGCCTAGGGTTCAAGCTCCGGGGGCCAGTACCAAAGAGGGAGGTCCCTCTGGAACTTCTCCCCAGCAGCCCCAGCTCTGCTGCCTCCCAGTTCCGTGACCTGGAGCTGCTTCCTCCTCTCGGGGCCACGACTGCAGCTCTGGGTCACACATCTTTGCTTTGTGTCGCCCCTTCGGCTTTGCCTCATGCGTCAGCAACGTCGTCGGCATCGAGGGCTGGGTCATTCACTGTCCTACAGCTGGCCAAGAGCAGCGAGTGTATGAGCGAGCTTTCAGCGATGTTGGCACGGGGCCCAGGGCTCATCTTGGAACCGAGCCCCGCGAGGACAAGGCCGATGTCCCCGAGGGCATCTCGGGGCTTCCCACAGCGGGCCTGAGATGGCGAATTTTGGAGTCAGTGAATAAATCGTGAATACCTTCTGGAACTGCAGAGAAGGGATGGAAAGTTCCGGAAGGCTCTCGGGTGCACTGGATGATGCCAGCTTTGCAGGAAGGGGTTGGTGACGTCTGTATTCTTGTGAGATGCAGGCTCGTGGGTCCTTGTGCTCCTGTGTCGAGGTCCCGGGGCGGGGGAGGCAGGAAACGGCATTCGTCACTGCGGGGTGAACTCCGCACCCTGTGTTCCAGGGAGAGGCGTATTTTTAGACCTTTGAGCGAATTCCAGAGGAAGAGCAAGGCGTGCTTAGAGGGAAGCCGACTCTTCCTGCACCCGGCGAACGGCCCTGGGTGCATTGTTCTTGGCGGGGCCACCAAGTCCCAGACGTTCCAAGGAGGGGCACGGCTCCGGGCCGAAGGAGGGCGTGGCGGGGCGAAGCTGCATTCTTTGCCCGTAAGAGGGAGCCACGCGGCTTGGCGCTGGTCACTCCGACCGCGGTGTTTGGGGACCACGCACTTAGCTACAAACCAGTGAAAACCGCCCAGGTGCTAGCGGGATGTGCGGGCATCCTGGGGCAGAGGGGAGGGTGTACTTCTAGACTTTTCCACAAGGCAGCTGTGGACAGCGTATTTTTCCTGGGTGGCATTCTGCCGTGAAGACCCTGTGTCAGAAAGGAACTGTTTTAAAGTGACCAGCCCAGGGACACGTGACTGTTTCCCAGTGTTGGGCAGTCCCTACTCGCCAGCCGACCACCACCCCAAAAAGGAGCCCCAGCCCTGAGCAGCAGTCCCCTCTCCCCCTCTGGCTCTCCCCTTCCCATGCCCTGCCCACTCATCGTCCCCTGCAGAGTTCCCTAGACCTGGGGTCACACACTGTGTGTGGTGCCTTGCACAGGTTGGCAGCGTGTTCTGGCTTCATCGTATATGGCAAGCGTGTTAGCAGGAGACCCGAGCCGTCTCTTTCACGCACCGGTGTGCTTCCAAGTGTGTGCCTGGTCCATCTCTGGTGGGTCAGCCAGGCTGTTTGCTTTGGGCCAGTCCAGATTTGACCTTGGACCTGCATGCTTGGGCTTAAGCTGGTGTTTCCGGAAACGGTTTCCTGAGGATGTCGGTTATGAATTGGCTTTGCAAACCCACAGAGTTCCCCCGAGGACCAGCCAGGGGGTCGTAGGGCACAGCGAGGCCACTGTGCTGGAGCACTTCCTCTGCAGTTCCGCCAGGGCCCAGGGCTGCTCTGTGCATCCCGGAGGACGCTGCCACCTGCCAGCCGGGGTGAGCTGCACCTAAGGGATAAAGCTGCATGACTCTGCCTGAGAACAAGAGAGAGACAGCAGGAGGCCAGGGGCACAGGGAGGCCTGGAGCCGAGTCTGAAGGACAAGGGGAATTCGCTCTCCAGGCCAGAGAGCGCCCAAGGAGGCAGACAGCTCCACGCCTGCATCTTGCCCACGGCTCTGAAGCTGGTGAGCTGGACAGAGAGCACTCGTCTCTCTGCACCTCAATCTTCTCATCAGGAAAATGGGTTGACGGCAGCCACGGCCTCCAAGGCCCATATGGAGGACCCAGGCTAGCACTAGCACACAGCAGCTGTTCTGGGTGCTGTCCTTGTGAGACATATGGCCCAGATGCCAAGCCTCTCTTGGAGGGTGGGAGATGGCAGCAGGACCTGCCCATGAGGGCTGGTGGCCACTCAGGGTGAGCCCAGGGAGCTGGGCTGCTCCAAATGGCACCCTTGCATGTGTGAGCCCCACATGCAAGGAAGCTGGCTGCTTCCAGAGCTCCAAGCCCCAGGGTCTTCCCATGTGGCCTGTGGGACGCTCAAGGGACGTGTCTTGCACAACACACACTCACAGCCAACTGAAGTGATTCTGCAGAGCAGGGGCGCGGTGTCACACCCTACACAGGGTGTGATTGTTGGGGAAGGCCACCTGGTCCACTGGGCCCTGCAGAAACCGATCCTTCCCCCCCAAAGGCAGGAGGCCAGCACGCCGGCCGCACTGCCATCCCCAGCCCTGCCCTCGTTGGGCCCCCAAGCACTTGCTGTTCTGAGAACCCAGGACATGGATGAGACCCAAATCGTGCCTGCACATGGGGGTACTGTTGGTGGGTGTGCACATACTGCCCAAGGGTGGGAAGGGACTGGGTGCTCTGCGAGCCAGGGGCCAGGGCCAGCAAGGGAGTGCCAGAGCCATGCTGGGTGTGGTGGTGGGACAGCCTGCTGGGTAGCTGAAAGGTGACCTGGGGTTTCACGTTCTGGGCCCTCGGCCCCTGGCAGCCTGGGTGGGTGTACAAGATAGGGGTCATAGAAGCACAAGGGGTCTGACCTGGAGGCCAAGGTTTTGGAATCCCGCCCCTTTAGCCTGGTGCGGGTGGGGGCTCTGCAGAGCCATCGGATGGTGCCAATGCTGGCTGAGCACCCATCAGTCATTTCTCAGGACCGAGGAAGCAGTGTGGGGGTCCTGCCCGAGCTTCCGCTGCGGGGCGGGCGGCGCTGTGTGGAACATCCACTGCCTTCCCGGACGGTGGAGCCGGTTATCATTCCTGCTGTCGGTGACTTTTACTTCCAAGGTGTTTATTCCTTAGTTCCCGCCAGATTCAGTTTGAACTGTCCTCGACACACACCAAAGATCTAACGTGGATCCCCCACCCCACCCTCCCTGGCGTCTGGGCGGGGCCAGCGTGGGCTCCAACTCCCATCAGGTCTCACAGTGTGAGAACGGAGCAGGTGGAAAAGTCAGCCGTGCCCTTCTCTGGCTACACGGCGTGTTCTTAATCACGCTCTGGGGAGGCCTGGCAGCTGTCGCCTTGGATTTGGGTTAGAAACGCTGGGCCCTGACCTGGGTCCCGTTTAGGGACCTCTAGAAGAGGCCAGCACCAAGCAGGCGGCTGTGCACTCCTGCTGTCAGCTCCAAAGCTGAGGAATGCGGGGTGCTGGGTAAGGAAGGGGGTGACTGAAGGCAGGTTAGGAGACATGAACCCTAGGTCCCCTCGCACCTGCTCCTGCCTCTCTCCCCATGCCCAGGCACCACCTTGGTGTGTCTGTCCTTTCCCTGCTGTTGTGACTGACATGCAAGACAGCAAAGACAAGTTTTCTGGGTGGCACAGGCATAGGAGAGGGACCCACTCTCCCTGGGTGCCCCTCTTCCTGGGCAGCAGCCACGGGGCTCTGGTGTCTTCACCCCACCTTCCACTCTGATCTGGAAGTTGCTGGTTGCCTGGCACCCCCTATGGGGCATGGGCGGCAGCACAACACGGGGCACAGGTTCTGGGCACCTGGACGTCCCTCCATCCTCAGGAGAGCCTGTGGAAGGAGGTGCTGTGCACTGTCCCCTCATTACAGAAGACGGGGAACGGGATGATGCCAAGGTCCCTTGGCGTGCGGGTGGCTGGGCTGGGCTCTGGGCTCTGCTGGCCGGATGCAGCTCCCAGGCGGTTGTCCCTTAGCCCTGGCAGCCAGCAAAGTTCAGCTGTGAGCCTCATTGGGGTAGAGGTGCAATCAGGGAGTGCTTCACGGAGGAGGTGAGGTCTGGGCTGAGCAATGAGGTGGGAAGGAGCCATCCACAGCAAGCTGAGGAGGGAGTGTGTCCCCAGTGATGGTGGTGGCCTCGAGGGACGTGGGCAAGGAGAGGACAGTGTGACAGCGTGCCATGACAAGGGCGTCGGGGAACTGAGAGGTGAGGCCTTGAAGGTCAAAAGGGGAAGTGGGGCAGACTTTGTTCCAGGTTGCTAGAAGCCCAGGGGACTTGGAGCACAGAAGTGACCTGATTCATGGCTGCCTTCAAGCACACACGTGTACACCCACTGTGCACACACGTGTACACCCTGCAAGGACAGACACACAGAGGTGTACGCCCAGCGAGCACACACACACACACACACACACACACGTACAGTGGTATCTCCCACCCTAACTGCACACCTTCTGCCCTGGGCATGTCACCCAAGTTCAGAGTGCACAGCCTTGGGCTCGCTCTGCCCCGTTCAGGGGTGGGCCCCGGAGCGTGTCCCTGACACCACCTCTCCCCTCTGCCCCAGGCTGAGGAGGTGGGCACTGGCGGCCTCAGGCAGCCCCGTGCTGACCGCTGCCCGCCACCCCCACGAACACTGCCCCCTGGCGCATGCCAGGTGGCTCGCTGCCAGGCCGACTCCGAGTGCCCGCGGCACCGGCGCTGCTGCTACAATGGTTGTGCCTACGCCTGCTTGGAGGCAGTGCCACCTCCACCGGGTAAGTGGCAGCTCCCAGGGCGGTGTGGGAGGGACCCCCAGTGCCTGCCTCCTGGCTGCTCCTTGGGGTGGGCATCCTACTGGGGCAGCCACACCATCTACAATCCCTGAGACATGCACTCCAGGGGCAACACTGGGGAGGGGATGACACATCCTTGGACCCCCAAAAGCCTCTCCACTCAGTGCATGGGGTACGGCCATCCCAGGACCACCCCAAGGCCTCTCCACTCAGTGCATGGGGTACGGCCATCCCAGGACCACCCCAAGGCCTCTCCACTCAGTGCAGGGGGTACGGCCATCCCAGGACCACCCCAAGGCCTCTCCACTCAGTGCAGGGGGTATGGCCATCCCAGGACCACCCCAAGGCCTCTCCATTCAGTGCAGGGGGTACGGCAAGGAGCTCCTTTACAAGTGTGGGGGGCTGGCAGCTGGGTGCCCCTCACTCTCAGCCCTGCAGGTGCTGAGTCAGGCATGCCTGCCTGTTTGGGTGGTGGCCTCACCCTGTGAGAGGCTGAGCCCTTAACCCTGGAGGGCTCCCCCAAGAGGTGGCCTCCACCTGTCCCATGGTTCAGAGAAGAGTTAAAGGACTCATGAGACACTCAGGGTCAGGCCGTTCCTCCCCGCCCCCTGCCAGCCTTGACAATGAGAGACCGGATGAGAGCCCTTGGGCTGGGTGAGCTGACACAGGCAGACCCCGTCCAGCTGGGCCACAGGGCATTCTTCTTCGGCCGGTGGCCCAGGGGGGTTCTCCCAGGCCCAGGCACTGCACGGCCATGCAAGCCTTCCGGGCCGTTTGGTTCAGGGTCTTGGTTTCATGCAATTTGCAGCTGGAGACACATGAATTCCTAGAAACCACATGGTAGGCACAGTGGTCAGGTGGTCCTGCCGTCTGCGGGCAAGTGTGTGTGATTTAGTGCCCCTCCTGGGCCCCTCACTGCTGGGAGCACCCCTTCCGTCCCGCAGAGGCACCGAGGGCTCGCTTCCTGCCTCTGCCCCTTTCTGGATGCTTCTCCGGCTGTGTCCCTGCCTCACACCACGAGGCAGGGCGCGGCCAGCAGGGGGCACTGTCCAGCTGTTAGCGCTGAGCCCCAGGCCTTCTTCATGAGCCCTGCACAGTGGCCCGGGCCCCATGAGAGGGTGCGGAGGGGATCCCACTGAGCTGAGGGGCAGGTGAGGCCTTCAGAGACCTACAAGCGATGCCCAAGGACCTGGGTGTGACCGTGCCCTCTCTCAGTCGTAGACTGGCTGGTGCAGCCGAAGCCACGGTGGCTTGGAGGCAACGGCTGGCTCCTGGATGGCCCTGAGGAGGTGCTGCAAGGTGAGGACTTCGCATGGAGGCTTCTGGAACAGCTGGGGCGCAGGGTCGCACAGGGGTGTGTGCGCTGCTGTGCGTGCCTGCGTCTGTCGGGGTGTGTGGCAGCTGTGTTCACACCCACTGTGGCTGCTCTGTGTGAGTCTGTGTGTGTGTGGCTGCGGGCACAGCTGTGTGTTCCCGGGGTGCCTGTGCATGCCAGGCTCCCCAGGGAGCATGTGACAGCCTGCCTGTGCACCTGCTGCTGTTGGAGTGTGTTTGCTGCACCCCGGGGCCACGCTCTGAGACCACCCCCACGCATCACCTCCCCACAGCAGAGGCCTGCAGTACCACGGAGGATGGCGCCGAGCCGCTGCTCTGTCCCTCGGGTTACGAGTGCCACATCCTGAGCCCAGGGGATGCGGCCGAGGGCATCCCCAACCGTGGGCAGTGTGTCAAGCAGCGCCGGCCAGCAGGTGAGTGCAGGTGCCTAGAGCCCTGGGCCTGGCCCCGCCCTCCCAGTCCCCCACTCCTTGCCCGGGAGCATCCTCGCTCCTCCCTGGGGTGCCCCATGTGCCTGGAGCTGGCAGACAGGCTGCAGACTCCAGCTCTGAACCTTCTAGCAGGGCAGATTTGGGGTCATCGGTATCTGAGCCTTGGTGTTCCTGTCTGGAAGATGGGGCTACTCTGCACGTCTGTGGGGGACCCAACAAGGTCCAGCCCTGAGAGCAGGGCAGGCAGCAGGAAGCGCTCAGCAGACGCCGGCCAGCTGACCTCGTCTGCACAGCCACCTGCCGGAGCTGGACACAGCCTCAGCTCCTGGGACCCCTGCCAGGACTATCGGCCCGGACGCCACGTCTGCCTGGCTTTGGAGACAAGCAGTCTGGGACTGGGGCGCTGACTTGCATGGCTTTTCCAAGGATGGTGCGGGCCAGCCGGGGCTCCTGGGGGCTTCTAAACCTGCCTGCCATGCCCGCTGAGGCAGAGGGTCGGGGTGATGGGGAGTGGAGCACTGAGACCCACTATGCCATGCCAGTCCCGAGTCTTGGAGATTTCATTAGCTCTTGTCTCTGAAAGTCAAGGTCGGCTGCAGACACAGATTTGGATGCACCTTGAATTTCATTAACTTCCTTGACGGTGAAGATCTCAGACGGGAGTGGGGGGTCTCTGGCTCCCAGAACTACTAAGGAAGAAAGCTGTCAAGTTCTTTACCTTATTATTATTTTTAAGGCAGAGAGAGGGAAATGAGAGGGGCTGCAGCCTGCTGGCAACCCCCCCCACACACACACCTAGGCCTGAGCCAGGCCTGAGCCAGGTGCCAGGAGTTCGAGACGGGTGCTCCTGAGGGTGGCAGGGAGTTAACCCCGGGAGCTGGGGTCGGGGCTGGGGATTGAACCAGACGCTCGCCTGTGGGAAGCAGGCCTCTCAGCCACTGCGCTGAGTGCAGCCCTGAAGGCTTATGGCTTTCTTTAGCTTCAGACTTGAGCATGAAGTGTTGAGTCTGACGCCAGTCCCACCATGCTCGTGCCTGGCTGTCCTTGCCCACCACTGCCCTCGTCCCATCCCCGCTCCGCAGGAGCCAGCAGGTGCATCTGCGTGGACAGTGCAAGAATCAGCCACAGTTCTCATACCCACACCGAAGGCGCAGGCTCCAGGGCAGAGACCTCTGGGGGAGCTGACGGTCACTGGGCTTTTGCTGTCCAGCAGCTGGTGGTGGGACATGTGAGGTCTGTGGCAAATCTAGCTCTTCAGAGAGTGGGGTCAAGGCCAAGCAGTGCCTTGGTCTGTTAGGGTCAAGGTCACTCAGACACGGAGACAGGGGAGCCTGGGACAGATGCTCAACGGGAGTTAGGTGGATTCAGCTTATCCTGGAGTCCAGGAAGCATGTTTGATCAAAGCCACGTAAGTGTGATCTCACACTCGGCCACACGAGGGCGTCCTGGGCCCGCTCATCCCTCTGCTGGTTTGTGGCTTTGTGGCTGGGGAGGGGTGAGCAGGAGTGAGCGCCCGAGCCTAGGAGTGTCTCCCATTCAGGGCATGGAGTGCACCTTGCACAGACACTGTCAGTGCCATGCACACGACCTGGTAGTGTGGTGGGGAGGACGGTTATCGCCAGCAGGGAGACGTGGGCACATGAAGGTCAGTCTGTATGTGTGCTGCCGCCGCTGGGCTCCAGCCTCTTCTTGTTGCCGCGAGGTGAGGCTGCGGTGAGAGCCGAGGACCGGCAGCAGCTCAGGCCACTCATCGCTTGCGTGTATAAAAAGGCCGTGCTGGGGTGGGGAGAGACTTCTTAATGTTTGCATCTGGATGTGTCCGATGAAGTTGCTTCTTCCCGTCCTCGGTAACCTCGCTGAGTACTCGCTGCAGGCCCCTTGTCGGGTGCATGACGCAGAGCAGGGACCCCCGTCGTCGGTCACTCTGTCCTTGTAGGAAGGCTGTGTTCTGACCTCGGCGTGATCATCAACGACCCTTACTTCATGCTGCATTGAAGCTTGCTCCCAGCTCCTCAGCGAAGATGCCGGCACCTAAAGCTTTCGGTCTCAGAGCACCCCGAGGTCTCCCCAGGAACACCTCCGTGCTGGGGGCCGAGCTGACCTGTGCTGCCCACAGGGAACAGGTGCTCGGCCTCTGGCTCAGACTGGGCACGATGCCCACAGGGTCTGGGGTCAATTCCTACCCCGCCTCCTGACCCCACTTTTCCCCCACCCACGTGGGAGACCTGGTTGAGTTCCCAGCTGCTGACTCCGGCCGCAGCCCGGGCTCCGGTGTTGTGGGCATAGCTTTCTCTTCGTCTCTTTCATTCTGTTTTTCTGCCTCACAAATTAAACTTTAAACAGGTATAAAAAAAAACCTATTAGACATTAAACAGAAATAACTTATTTTTCCTTTGAAAAAAAATCTGTATTCTAAAAGGCAAAGGCACACGAGGCGAGTGGTGTGGACTTAGCTAGCCTCGCGGTCCTGCGCAGGGACCAGTTCAGGGTCGCTCCTGCGTGGCAGTCACACGGCCCTGGGACATGCTCCCATCCACGCACAGCAGGTCCTCAGCAGGATCAGGGCGCTGGGCTCGGAGCTGCTGAAACTGGTTTTCCCTTCTCACGTGTTTTTCAGATGGACGATTCCTGCGACACAAATTTTACAAAGAACACCCAGGTGAGTGGGCAGAGGCCCACTTCCTTGTGGAGGGCATGGGAAAGGGGGTGGTTCTTTGGTGACACTCAGCAATGACATCACTCGGTGGGGAACAGAAAGGCTGTCAGGACAGCTGCTTGGGGAGGAGCACGGCAGCTGGGACGGAGGGCCAAGAGGACAGGGAGGTGTGAAAAGGCACAGCCACAGCATGTGATGTGCAGGGCAAGGGGGTCAAGTGCAGTGGGGCACGGAGAAAGCCTCCCTTGGGGGCTGGGCGTGGAGCAGGTCAGCGGGCCAGGCCTACTTGCAGAGTGTCAGGTGACAGCAGCCAGTGAGCCGGACGTCTGAGCAGGAGGAGACGCCAGCTTGGACCGACCCCTTTTTTCTTGTAGAAGGTGACTCTAAGAACGTGGCAGAGCCGGGGAAGGGGCCGCTGAGGCCCTTCCAGTGAAGCGACCTCCGACAGGTGAGCCGGGTGCGGCCTGGGCAGCTCTCACCAGCAGAGGGCGAGAGTGAGGCTGCACCCTCCCAAGAGAGTCCCGTTGCCGGAAGCCTAGGATGAGAAGGTGTTGTTGCAGCAGGGGAGGGGGTGCTGGGAGCAGGGAAGCCCCGGAGGGGGAGGGCAGAGGCCACAGGAGGAGGTTAGAGCAGGCACAGGTGCTGCCCTGGGTGGTCCCAAGGAGGAGATTCAGGTGACAGGCAGGACCTGACCTGGCGTGAGCTGGGGGACCCCTCAGTGGGGGCATCTGGGACCAGGGGACAGAGCGGGACCCTGAAGGAAGTGCCAGCGCAGAGCTAGCCAGGCCTTGGGGGGAATAAAATTCTGGCTCTACCTCCTCTGTAAAATGGGGGTGACCGTGGGCAGGATGCTGCCCTGGCAGACCGCATGGGGAGCTCAGAACTTGATCTTGGCAGAAGCCAGCAAGCTCCTCGGGCACAAGGTGGGGAGGTGAGGATGGAGCCGGGAGGGACCCCAGTTCTGCCGAGGGGAGCAGCTCCTGCTCACCCCTTCTCTGCTTCCCTTTCAGCCTGGTCCCCAGAGCACCCCTACTTTCTGCGAAGCCTCGGAAACGACCCCCGGAAGTCACCCCCTCGCCCTACCCCAGCTCAGCTCATACCCCTACCCATGTCCCCAGGGTCCCTCCCCAGAGAGGGCTCCTGTTCCCTCCCCTCGTGGCCGCGCCTGGCAGCAGGGAAGCCACCACCCCTTCTTCTCGGGCAGACGCTGGCACCAGGAACAGTGTCCACAAAGCACTCCGAGACCCCCTTTCAGGTCGGCCTTGGGGAGCCCTGACCCCAGATGCTCCCCAAATAAATATGCTGATGGACACAGAAGCCCCTGTGGACGCTGGGGGACCCCAGTCACACGGGATTAGCTTGACTCACGGGGAATGCCCTTGATTGACAGCTGTCAGAGCTGTTGTTGGTTCATCCTGGGAGGGGCGTGGTCTGTGAGAGCTCTACCCCCAGGACCCAGAGCACTGGGACTCATGCAGATGTTGGCGGTGTGTGTGTGTGTGAGGCTGATGGCTGTCCATGCCTGGATTGGCTCTGAGCCCAGCGTACACACACTGAGTTGTCATCTTGAGCTCTGTGTCATCACATTGATGGCAAAGGTGGCAAGTATGGCAGGAAACAAAACACATGCTGGGGAGGTAGCCCAGGTCCCACAGTCCCTGACGAGGGATGCTAAACCCTGGCATGGGCAGGGGGGAAGCAGTCAGAGGAGGCTTCCTGGAGGTGGTGATACAGATCTGTCCATGACTAATACGTGGCCAGTCCTGGGAACCTTTGCCTTGTAGCAAGATTGCAGGCCCTGCTTGATTTAAGCCAGGGTTTCTCCAGCAGCCCTGTGGGGTTGCAGGCGGGGTCACTCTGCCCTGTGCTCTAAAGGACATTGACCAATGGCGCTGGCCCCTTCCCAGGGGACCACCAGCAGCCCCTGACTGTCGCTAGAGCTCCTTTGGGCACTGTGGTCCCCAGAGACGTCCTCGGCAAGCTTCCGTCCTGCAGCTTCCCTAAGGTTCAAGGACTGCTGTTTTTGCTTTTGAACTTGGAGCCCACCCAGCCCTCCTGGGGCCATGGTTGGTTTGGAGCCAGTGTCAGCACCTCACGTTGGAGCAGGTGCTGGGGACTCCAGGGGTCCGGGGAGGGCTGTGCTCTGGGACTGAGGCCCCACAGCAGCCCTGCCGCCCCTGGCTCTGTGGACTAAGAACCCCTGTGCTTCTCACTCTGAGAAGGGGGCAAGGCTGGCCAGGGCTTCCCCGTGGGGCTGGGGGAGAGGCAGGCTGGACCCGGAGGGGCCAGAGCAGGCCAGGAGCAGCGGGGCAGCAGGAGGCGCGGGCTGGGCTTTGGCGCTGCGTCTGGGGGACTTGTATCCTGGCTCCCAGAACAGCGTGTGTATCTTACATTTTTCCCATTCACTGCCAGAGTCAGGTTACATTTCACACCAAGGTCACCTACATGGGCTCTTTTTTTTTTTTTTTTGTAATGATTCTTTAAAACTCCTGACTTTGAAGGAAGGACAAATTCCCAGGACACGCAAGCAAATGTGCAGGGATGTCCCTGTGCCCTCTAGCCCTCCTTGTGTGACAGTCGTGGTGTGCACGACCGTCTCGCCAGAGCCCACAAGTTGACATTGGCACCATGCATGGTGCCAGCTCAGTCTCCAGTCCCCTGACAGTGGGGTATATCTGTGTGTCTGTGTGTGCTGTGTCTGTGTGGGCACACGTGTGGCACCGCAGGGGCCAACCTGCTCTGTCACCTCCAGGTTTTCCTGTCCTGATTTGTGGAGGAAGCAGTAGAAGCTCAAGGGAGGGGTGCAGCCTGGAATTGACCGGGCAGGATGCTGGGGCGCCCGAGCCACGGCCACACCCCCACTCTTCCAGGAACAGGAGGGACCCCGCTTCCTGGCTCGGGTAGGTCTGATTTGTTTCCCTCTCCCCACGCAAGGCGGGAAAAGCAGAGGTGCCCAGGCCGAGGGAACAGCACTGGCCGAGACGTGGCGCTCCCAGCAGCTGGCAGAGCTGAGCAAGTGGCTCTGGGTGCTGCCGGAGGTGGGAGGGAGATGACACGGGGCTGGCCGTGACCCACGCTGAATTTGAACTTCGCCCAAAAAATGACAAGGAGCTCCTCGAGGGTCTCCCCTTGGGCAGCACCCCCTGACTCTCCCAGAGCCCGGAGAGGTGGGTCTCCTGTCACCACTTGCAGGTAGAGATGTGGAGGCTCTGAGAGCTGAGTTTGTCCCCGAGGGGACTCTTCAAAAGCTAGCCTAGCAGGGACAGGATTCTACCCCAGGCCCTAGCCGACTGGGGTGGGATGCCCAGGGAGAAAGCTGGCCCAGGTGCCAGGCCTGTGCCCCATGTGAGGTCAGTTGCTGAATGCTGGGCCAGGGACACCCACCTGCTTGCTCCCAAAAGCCACCTGAGTCCGGCTAGGTCAGTCACATGTCCCTGCTGAGAGTTCTCAACAACCCCGACTCTGGCTTGGGCTCCCACAGATGGGTTTCTATCTTCTGCATCCAAACCGAGGCACTAACCCAGTACAAGGCAACCAAACACACCCTTTCCGGGAGCGTTGGGCAAGCTCGAGGCACCGCGGGGCGTGGGGAAGCACCTGAATCGGCTGCCAAGGAAGTCCTGCCGGCCTGCCCTTCCCATGCCACGACAGCCTGAGCAGGCCCAGCTGGAGTGAGCTCAGGGCCTCCCTGTGACTGCTAGCTGGAGCCTGCCCAGCCCCCTGCTCCCGGGCGGGCGGGCTGCTGGCACGGTCTATGCCTAGCACTGGGAACTCACTGAACAGGTGCCTTGTGGCCGGCCAGGCTGGCCTGGAGGATGTGGGCCCGGTGGGTGAGGGCGCTCATGGGCTCACCATGGGGCCAAGCGCCCTGTCGTTCACACCAACTGCCTCCATGGCAGCCAGGCTGGGTAGACACGACCTGTCTGATACTGGTGGCAAGAACTGACCTCACTCATGCAGGGCCCGAGCAGGAGCTGCAACTCCGTCTTCTGCACGGAACAAGGCTTAAGCTGCATGTTTCCGAACGTGACACCTGGGATGCAGCTGGGGGACAGCGTGAGTCCACTGACCCATCACCATCGTCCCATCCCATCTTGTTTTTTGCTAAAGGCTCCTGGCTTCAGTGCTGGCGGCTGCCGGCACGGAGAGTGGACCAGTGAGAGGCAGATGCTGTCTCCTGAGCGAGAGCTCCATGGACCCCTCTGTTGCCTTCCAGTTCGGACCCCATGTCTGCTTTGTGAATGGCTGCAGCGGATCAAGCCAGGAGGCACATAGGCCACTCTGTCTCCTGTTGACCGAGCTCATGCTTTGCACAGGCCTGGCCCTCCCACAGGCCTGGCTGCCTTGAGGGGCTGGACGGGTGCTGTCGGTCACGGCTGCCTGCCCACGTGGCTCCAAGCACAGCGCAGGGACAAGGAGCCAGCAGCTGATGCCCAGGACGGAGCTCCGAGGGCTCCTGGGGCACAGCCAGGGTCCTGCAAGGATTTGCAGAGCAGACTGGGCCCCGGCAAGTAGCCTCAACTCTACACCACCAGGGCATCCCCTGCGTGAGGTCACAGCGGGTCCCGGGGAGAGGCTGGGAGCCAGTGAGAAGGTCACGTGCGGTTGCCTCTGCAGCTTTAGAGTACCGGGCTAGAGGGCGTCCCCAGGGACCCTGGCAGGGAGTCGCCCTTGGGGAAGCTGCACTGCCTGCATGGCGATGAGCTCTGAGCTCCCAGTTGCCCTGGGTGACAGCCACCCCAGCTGTCCCCGAGGACCTGCTCCCAACATCCTAGAGAGAGAGAGACCAAGAGGGGGCTCAGGGCTTGGAGAGCTGCCATGGCTCCCCTCCCAGGACTGGTGGGAAGGAGCCGGGGCCCGAGGGCCCACAGGTCAGGTGGCTGTGACAGGGCCCAGCGTCGCAGTCATCTCAGGCTGATCAGCTCTAGGTGAGGAAGGGACAGTCCCAGCTGGGGAGTCCATAGGGACTGCCAGGCTGTCTGCCAGATGGAGGCGTCCAGCAGAGTGACCCAGACCAGGAGTCTCTGGGGCGACAGAGGAGCAAAGCCCAGCTGTGGCCGTATCCCAGACCCAGGGCTCCACCACATGAGGAAGTCGCGGTCCTGTGACCCTGGCAGCCAGCTCTGTGCCCAACCTCCACCCTCTCCTCCCTTCCCTGTGCCCTGTGGGAGGTCATGAACCACAGGCTGGCAGGTGGGTGGGTGAGTGCTGGATGGCGGACTGGGAGGGTCGAAAGGGTGGTGTCCTCCCAGACACAACGCAGCGTGCAGCTGGGCAGCCCGGGTTCTGGCCTCTCCTCTCCCTTCGGCTGGGGCCGGGGTCAGGTTACTCAGCCCTGTGCCAAGTGTGTCCCAGGCCGGGTTCCTGGAGGCAGCTCCGAGACAAAGATGTGTGTGTGCAGTCACGCAGGAAGTGCCCCCAGCAGAAACCCGAGAGGGCGGAGGACAGGAGGTGGGCTGAGCTCAGCTGACCGACAGGGGCTCTGCCAGCCAGCTCCACGCTCCCGCCTGCCCTCGCCAGCTCCCTCCTGGGCGTGGGATAGCCAGTGAGGCTGCCATCTACGGCACCAGCATCCTACACGGGCACTGGTTCGTGTCCCGGCAGATCCACTTCTTATGGTGGCCTGGGGTGTCCCCTACTTGGGTGCGGCGTCTCTGCCGCAGGAAGACCATAGAAGCCAGGATCTGTCCTGCCAGTCGTTAACATTGAACCTGTTTTGCTAGAAGGCAAACACATAGATTACAGCTTATTTCATAGGGTGGGCCCCTGCCCGAGCAAGGCCTCCCTTGGGTAGGACCCTGGTACTGAGGCCTTGGGCAGCCGAGCCCCCAGCAACGAGCACAGCTGCCAGGGGCCAGGCTGAGTGGGAGCAGGCGTGACTGACAGGCCGGGGCTGCGGGGAGCCAGGATGAGTAGTCTCACCCTACTCTGGCTCTAGTTCTCAATGCTCTGGGGTCCCCCAAGGTCAGCCCAAGAAGCAGTCTTTGTTGGGGAACAGGGCAGCCCCCACAGTGGGTGTGTTCCTGGGAGGTGGTTCTGGGAGGTCCCCAGCCATGCCTCAGGCCTCACCTTTGGGCATTAGGGGAGTCAGCTGTTGAGGATGAGTCAGGGGGTGGGGAAGGGGCAGCGGTAAGGCTAATGTCTCAGGCCCCTGGAGAACGCAGGGCTGGCCACGGCAAACTGGGTGGAGGGGAGGGGAAGGGGGTGGGCGAGGCTGCTGCTTGGGAACCCCAAGGGGCTCTGAGCTAGGGGGATGGGCTCAGACTATTATAGGGCCACCTTGTTACAGGGGAGCCAGGATAGGAGGCTGGGGAGGGAGATCTCAAACTCCCTCCAGCACCTTCTAGAAGGTTCTGTAAGGAGCTCCCCTCTTCCTTCTTGTTTTGAAAACCCCTTAATGTGCCAGGTGTGAACAACGAGGGCTACCTCTAGCTGACTTGGAGAAGGTCTCCGACAACAGCCCCGGGGCAGGGCAGGGGCTGGGATCTTGTAGCCAACAGTTTGGCATCTCACTGCTCCCTGGAGCTACCATCCTGGGTCTGCCTGCCTTTCCCAGGGATCCTGGAGGCCCTGAGGCCTGGCAGTGGCCACGGTGCAGGGAGAGTGTGCCAGGGGTGCAGGGTTCTGCTTTTCATGGTGCAGGCTGGGAACAGGTCCACCTTGGGTCCTGGCTTTGCCCTTCTCTTCTCTTGAAGCCCCATCCACTCCAGCGGCCCAGAGCGTGCCCGCTAGTGCCCACAGTCCTTCCCCATGTCACCTGTCCTTGTCCTGATCAATTTTCATCCCAGTCACAGCTTACCAGGGGCTGTCAGAATAAACTGACGCCCAACTCCCGAGAAATGTGGGGGCTCCAGAGAGGGATGCCCCTGCTTCTGCCAGCTCCTGGAGGCAGGGCAGTCTGGTTCCTTGACTTGCCCCAGGCCCTGCCCCCGGAGCTGTTCTCCTGACCTTTGAAGTAATTGTGCTGGTGAGGGGCAGGGGTCACTTGGGATGCCCCCATTCCATATCCGACAGCTAACTCGGGACCCAAATCCTCAGCTTTGAATCGGGTCTGCTGCCGATGGGCCTGGGAAGTGACAGGTGACAGCCGGAGGCCGTGGAGAGGGTGATGCCTGGCTGTGGCTGTGCAGGCCCTCGGGGAACAGACTGGCAGATGGAATCTCTCTTGGTTCTCCCTGACCTTCTACTCTCCTCTCTCCACCCTGCGCATAAATAAATAAATCTTTTCAACAATGAAGTCATTTTGCTTCCGAAAGGCCCAACGGCTCCCTTGTAAAGGAATCATATTAACCGCCTGTGTACACAGCCACCACAAAGCACAGAGCTGAGCTCCAAGCTGATGGCGTTTTTAAAGAATTTGGACCAGACGCACTTTGGTCGGCTCTGCCCCCTCGAGAAAGGAGACACTCAACACCAGCCTGGTAACGTGCAGGTGGCCGTTTGCCACCACAGGGCCGGCAGGGCCTAGAGGGGACACTGTGGCTTCCCGACAGGCCGCTGGCTTGGCAGGTGACTGGGGCTGAGGAGGCATGCCATGTGAATGGGAGGGGAGGGTGTGGCCTCGTTGCTCCAGGTGCACGGAGCAGACTTTTCAAGAAGGGCTGGATGCTTCAGGTTGGGGCGCGCCTTGACCCAGCCCTGGTTGAGCGGGGATCCCTCGGAGAGCCTGGGGTGCAGGGACCTGGCCCGTCCAGAGACTGGACATCAGAGTGGGCACATGAGCTCTCCAGGCTGAGGGGGAAATAAGACCACAAACCAAACACTCCCGCAGGCAAACATTGTTGGCCCAAAGGGATGGAGACTCCAAGAACCAAGCTAAGAAAGGGTGCTGAGAGCCCCTTGGAGAGGCCCCCCACCACAGGTAGCCCCGCCGCCGACGGGCGTCCTCGGCTCCCCCAGCCCCAGGTCCCCACCGGGGCACGTCGCTTGTGGTCCCCTGGGTCTTGGCCTCTAGGGAGCAGGTACAGCTGCAGGAACTGCTCCCCGAATAAGGGCTTGGGTCATGAAAGTGAGTCAGGACGTGGGGGAAGGGATGTCAGAACATAGAGTCACGGCACTCTTTCAAATGTGCGAAGGAGGCGGGCATGCCGTGCCCGAGCCGCCTCTGCGTGCTGTTGATACAACTCCGAGGGGCTGTTCATTCTGACATCAGAATTACAGGGAACAGCAAAGTCAGACCCAAAGGAAACAACGGACAGCCAAGTTGGAGAGAGACATTCCAAGCTCCTCCTCAGCTTGGACAGGCTGGGCACTTGCTGTCCACCCAGGGGTCTGTCCACCTGGGGGTTGCCATGGCACACGTGGCAAGGACCCGAGCCTGAGCTGAGTGGGTTCCCAAGGATGCATTCACAGCAGTAGGCACAGCTCCTGGCCAGCTGCTAAGCCTGGAGCTGCCATGCGTGGTCCTTCTAGCTCAGCCTGCACAAGAGAGGGTGAGGTTCAGTTCTAGAAATCTCAGTTTGCGCCCCCACTCTCTCCGCACCCCTCTCCAGATGCTTGGCCCAAGAGACTACATCCACAGCTTCCTGCCCTCCGCGTCCTGGATGGTGGAAACTGCTGGGTTCTTATTCTATTCTATTCTATTCTATTCTATTCTATTCTATTCTATTCTATTCTATTCTATTCTATTCTATTCTATTCTAATTGTTTTTCAGAGACACAGACAAAATCCCAAGTGACCCCAGTGCCAGGGCTGGGCTGCGCCTGACAGCCAGGGTCTCTCAGCCTCTGTGGGTGGCAGAGACCCAACCACAAAGGTACCTGCCGCCTCCTGGGGTGGACAGCCAGCGGCTCAGCTACCAGCACTGCACCTGCCGGGCTGTTGCTGGTGGGGCAATCTCTTCTGGTTTCTCTGCATCTTGCCCCCCACCTTTGCAAACTGTTCTGGAACTCTCCAGGGGTATCCTCACCTGCTGAAACTCTGACTCACCCCCTTTATATGGCTGTGTAGTCCGTCGAATCTGGACGGAGCTCCACCCCGCCTGCCACCTGGGGTCCAGCAGAAACCAGGGGACCCCTGGTCTGTTTACAGAAGAGCCAGGGGGTGCAGGAGGGGAAACCGAGGCTGGTTGTGGGTGTGATGGGGGGGACTCAGCACCTGGTTAGGTGTCTAGATCTGTTCCTGGGTTCTAGCCCCCCTCCAAGGCTCAGCCCCCACCTCTCCTACATGCCCATCCTGGGCAGGGGAGCTGGACTCTGACCTCATGGCAGAGTCACCCACACACCCTGGAAGCCCTGAGCCCAGCAACCCCACCCCATCCCTATCCGTGTCACCTGGCAGCCAGCACACAGTGAGCCTAGCAGCTCATTCCGCAGATGAGGAAACCAAAACCACACCAAGGTCAAGGCAATGGGGTTCCCTTACTCCGCCCCAGCCCTGGAGGTGGGGGTCTCAGTCATCTCCCCCTAGTTGACTGAGGGAAGCTGGGGCTTGCCCAGGGTGCACAGCCGCAGGCAGGAGTCGAACCTGCTCCCTGTCCACCTCAGCCGCCCACCTGGCAATGCTGACCAGTTGCTGCCTGTGGAGCTGGTTAAAACACGTCTACCCCGCCCCCAGGCCCACGGGCCGCAGGGAGGGAGGGACAGACGGGGAATGAAAGTTCAAACTGCCTATTGCCGGCCTTTCCTTATGCCAGGTGAGTCGAGCTGGGCAAGCAGCCCGGATCCTGAGCCCACACAGCCGCCGCTGCCCCCAAGGGCCCCAGGTCCTCGGAGAGAGTGCGGGACGGGGCGGCGGGGCCAGGTGCACCGAGCCCGCCTGGGGCGGGGCCTCCCCTGGGCGCAGGTAGGCGGCTACCTGGGAACCGGCCGGCCGGCGGCGGGGAGGCGCGCAGCCAGCCCGGCGGGCGCCGAGGGACCAGGGACCGGGTGGCCGCGCAGGAGCCCCTGCTCGCCATGGGGCAGAGACGCTTCGCCAAGTTCCTGCAGAAGCTCTCCTTCTCGGGCGCCGGCCACACGTACCAGGCGCTGGAGAGAAGCGAGGAGGAAGCCTTGGTGAGTCTGGGCGCCCTGCAGCCTCCACGCCAGTTCCCCGCGTCTGGGTCTGAGCGTCCCGGGCTCGCTCCACTGCCCGCCGCCTCCTCAGAAGCCGTCTGCAGACCACGGCAAGCTCTGGTGTCTGCCTGGAGTTTTGCCTTGAACCCTTCCAGCACAGCCCATTTCTGAGATGAGAAACGGGAGACCTAGACAGGTTAAGGGCCTGCGTTCGGCTGCCAGCAGGTGCCGGCAAAAGGAATTTAACCTGTGTCTGTCTCCCTAGCCACGGGGGATTTAAATTCCTGGGTCTTTAGGCCAGGCTTCTGTGTGGATTTTTTTTTTTTAAAGCCTCTTGTATTGGAGAGAATTGTATATGGCTGTGAGAAAAGCAGAGTTGCTCAGGTAGTAGTGGATGCCCGCCGGACGGACCCAAAGCCAAAAGCTTCCATGTCTCCCACACGGGTGCAGGGTCCCAAGGCTTTGGACCATCCTCTGCTGCTTTCCTAGTCCACAGGTGGGAAGCTGGATGGGAAGTGGAACAGCCGGGATTAGAACCAGTGCCCATGTGGAATCCCAGTGCATGCAAGGCGAGGACTTTAACCTCTAGGCCACTGCACCAGACCCTTGCAGTCTTCTTAAAACTTTGTTTCTTTGTGTGTCTCGAGAAAGTTCTTGAAAGAGGCGGTGTTGGAGAAGGCCAGCCTTCCTGCGGTAGTCCCCGCCCCCTTTCTGTGCACCTGGGGATGCGTGGCAGGCTCTGGGTTCATCCCCCACCCCAGGTGCCCAGTCATGGCAGTCGGCTGCCTGGGGACACGTGGCAGATCCTGGGATTCCCCTCCAACCCCCACCCCCCGGGTGCCCCAGCCACGGCCCTCAGCTGCCCGGAGCTTGCTGCGTCTTCTCGCGCCCCTTGGCTCAGGTGAGCTTTGCTGCCATCAGCTGAGGGGTGCGGCCGCCGGCCTCCCAGGTGGAGCTACTTTCATTTGCTCAGGGAAAATTGGACAGCAGGTGCTGAAGGGACGGGGGCGTGTCTAAAACAAAGTTCATCGCAGAGGCTAGCGGACAACGGGAAACAAGTATTCTATCTTGTAATATTTGTTTATTCCCAAGGGACAGCTCAGCTGTGGGGAGGGGCGGAAGACACCTTGTCTGCTGGTTCACTCCCCAGGTGGCCATGGCGGTCAGTGCCGGACCAGGCTGAAGTCTGTCCTGTGGTGGCAGGGACCCAACCCCTTGGGGCCATCTTCCCGTTCCCAGGCACATTAACAGGGGACTGACTCCGAAGCCGATAGCTGGGATTTGAATCCGTGTTCTAATATGGGATCTTAACCCACTGCACTCATTGCTGACCTCGGAATGTTTAATTTCTGACCCAGTGACCTTTGGTGTGATGGGGGATGAAGACCAGAGTGGTTGGACAGGAGACAGGTGGTTGGGGGTGCAGCCGGGTTGGCCCCAAATTGAAAGTGTTGGAGGCTGGACTCGGGTGCCATGCCACTGGCTCAGGCAGCTAGGGCAGGGCTGGGCTGCAGCACGGACACTCGGCAGGGGGAGGGGCACTGCTGGGCCAAGGGCAGGGTTGGCAGTGAGTCTGAGGCAGCCGGAGTGAGCTGCAGAGGCTGGCAGGGGAGGGCGAAGGCCAGGGAGATGGCCACAAGGGCCCGGTCAGTGGGAACTGAGCGAGAGGGAATGAGTGTGGCGTCAGAAGTGGAGGCGCTGAGTGAGGCTGGGGAAGGCAGTGGGGCTGGGGAGGCTGCCTCAGGTGCATGCCTGAGCTGGGGCAGTCTCCAGGTGGCTCTCTAGCCCCTTCCTCGGGGATGCATGGCGGCCTCCCCCTCTTGGTGCTATCTTCAACCACCTGCATTTAGGTGTAAGGGGTCAAGTTTGCAACAGACAGAGCTGTGGGTTGGTCACTCTGCTGTCCAATCAGATTCATCGTAAAATCTAGATGTAACAGCCTCACTTGATATCACCAAAGATGTCCTTGTAACACTGAACTAGTGATATTGGGTGGGCAGACCAGTTATCTATGGAGGTGGAGCAGTGGACTGTGCTGGGTGGCTAGGTCAGTTATCGGTGGTGGTGGAGCAATGGAGTGTGTGGGTAGGTAGACCAGTTATCTGTGGCTGTGTACTACTAGAATCCAACATGGTGTGGCTGTGGGCTGGGATGCACACAGGGACTTGGAGGCTGGCTGCCCGCCGAGGCGCGTGGGAAGCTGCTGCTCCAGGAACTGCGGCTGCTCCTGCTGGGGGGTCCTGAGTGTGAGGTCTCATCCCTCAGAGGAGGCTACGGGGGCGCACAGCCTCCTGGGGCCCCGGGGCAACTGGGCAACATTTGGTGTAGCCTGAGAGGTCAGGCATTGGGAGATGTGGTGTTGGGTGGTGGCCTGAGGACTAAATACCGGGCGTGGCAGAACACACGCCTCTGATATCAAATATGGTGGCAGTAAATACATTTTCAATCAATTAATTTAAGTTAGTTTAATTTAGCTTAAAAGGCAGAGTTAGAAGTTAGAGAAGGAGAGGCATAAATCCTCTGTCTGCTGATTTGCATCCCAGATGGCTGTAGCAGTAGGAGCTGAGCCAATCCAAAGCCAGGAGCCCAGAGCGGCTTCTGAGTCTCCCGCACGCATGCCCAAGTGCCTGGATCACCTTCTGCTTCCCCAGGCTTAAGTAGGAGCCTGTATGGGAAGTGGAGCTGCCAGAACCAGAACTCATACAAAATTCTGGCACAGCAGGTGCAGGCTTAACCTGTATCATGGCGCTGGCCCTGGAAATAAATATTTTTAAAATTTTATTTATTTTTGGTCTCGGCACGATGGCGCAGTGGTTAAGGTCCTCGCCTTGCACGCCCGGGATCCCATTTGAGCACCAGTTCTAATCCCGGCCGCCCCACTTCCCATCCAGCTCCCTGCCTGAGGCCCAGGAAAGCAGTCGAGGACGGCCCAAGGTTTTGGGACCTTGCACCCACGTGGGAGATCCGGAAGAGTCTCCTGGCTTCAGATCGGCATAGTATCGGCCATTGCGCTCACTTGGGGAGTGAATCATCGGACGGATGATTCCTCTCTGTCTCTCCTCTCTGTATATCCACCTTTCCAATAAAAAATAAAATAAAATAAATCTTTAAAAATTTTTAAAATTTATTTTAGAGCCAGAGAGAGAGAGAGGGAGAGAGCTGGCTTTCTTCCCAAATGCCTGCAACAGTCAGGGCTGGGCTAGGCTATAGGCTGGCAAGTTGAGATGCAGGAACCCGTCCACTTGGGCCATCACCACCGCTTGCTGGCTTGTGTGTTGGCTGGGAGCTGGAGTCGGGAGCCAGAGTGGAGCATAGAAAGCAGCAGGCTCCATGAACGTCACTGCTGGCACCTTATAGCTGAACACCTGTGCATAACACTTATTTCCAGAAGGAAGTGTTTTCAAACAAGGAATGAGGTGTTCAGACTACGAGGAGCCATTAGTGAGCTGCATGTCACCCGTGGGGGTGTCTGACCGTGTCGTGGTGTCCTCAGTGGGCTGTGCGTCACCAGTGGGGGTGTCTGACCATGTCGTGGTGTCCTCAGTGAGCTGCATGTCACCCGTGGGGGTGTCTGACTGTGCTGTGGTGTCCTCAGTGGGCTGTGCGTCACCAGTGGGAGTGTCTGACCGTGTCGTGGTGTCCTCAGTGGACTGTGCGTCACCAGTGGGGGTGCCTGACCGTGTCATGGTGTCCTCGGTGGGCTGTGCGTCACCAGTGGGGGTGTCTGACCGTGTCGTGGTGTCCTCAGTGGGCTGTGCGTCACCAGTGGGGGTGTCTGACCGTGTCGTGGTGTCCTCAGTGGGCTGTGCGTCACCAGTGGGGGTGCCTGACCGTGTCATGGTGTCCTCGGTGGGCTGTGCGTCACCAGTGGGGGTGCCTGACCGTGTCATGGTGTCCTCAGTGGGCTGTGCGTCACCAGTGGGGGTGTCTGACTGTGCTGTGGTGTCCTCAGTGGGCTGTGCGTCACCAGTGGGGGTGTCTGACCGTGTGCTGTGGTGTCCTCAGTGGGCTGTGTGTCATCAATGGGGGTGACTGGCTGTGTCATGGTGTCCTGGCACCACAGACTCTTACGTTGGCAGTACGGGCATACACACAGGGACATGGGTGTGGCTCTGACTTCAGCTAACATGTTAATGGTGGAACCCGTCACGTATACAGCCAAGGTGAGGTAGCAGCTCTGCCCAGCACCTGGTCTGACAGTGTGCTGGCCCCTAGGCTTTGTGAGCCTTGCTGCAGACAAGGGTTTGAAATCTTTAGGGTTTGCAAGGGGAAAAACACCCAGAGAGGTAACCTTTGTTAATGGCCATTTTACCTTGGGATAGCCCTTCTCGTTTCTCACAAGTCGTCTGCATTTCCAAATGGCCGGTGGTAAACATGATTTGATTTGGGAATCAGACAAAAACAAGGACACAAATGGAATTCGACGGAGGTAGACCCGGGTACAGAGTCTCAGGTGGGGCATACACGGCTGGGCTCAGGCAGTGCCTTTTGCCAGCCACCCAGTGTAGACGGAGACCCGAGGCCCCAACTGGTGGCACAGGGGTACCTGTGGGAGGAGGTGGGGTGAGGCTGTGCATGCCCCTGTTGGCAGTCCCCCCCCATTACCTTGTGGGGCTTCCTGGTTGGCACAATGGACTGCCCACAGGGAGTGTAGGAGTAGCCAAGGACAGGGCAGGAAAAGGCTTGGGTTCCAAGTGTTGAGGTTGGCACAAGGGGCAGAACCAGCGGTATAACGCATGGCACCTGATGCAGAAGGTTCCATTTGCCAGCTCAGTCCAAGATGCCTGCAGTGGGCAGGGCTGGGCCAGGCTGAAGCTGGGAACCAATACTTCTATCTCCATTGCCCATGTGGGTATTAGGGACACAACCATCTGAGCCACCACCTGATTCCTGTCAGGGGTTGCATTGGCAAGGGGCTGGAATGGACAGTCAAGGCCAGGCTTCGCTCCCACGCACTCTGATGGATTCAGGCATCTGCCAGGCTAAGCACCTGCCCCTCT